CACCCCCCGGTTAATTACATGTCTTTTTCTTATAGTTTCTTCATGCTGAAGGCATGTCATTCTTCCCAGAGACAGTCTCAGCTAGGTGTCCCTGGGCCAGGTCCATTCGGTCGTTCATTTTCAAAATTTCTTTTCTATGAAGCAAAGAAATCCTTTTATTATCCTCAAACATGAAAGTCAAAATTTTCATAAAACACTCTCTACAGCATGTTTACTTGAAACCCTGCTTCCCCAAAGCCATGATAACTGTGACTATTGTGGAACATGCATTGTGTGCATCGATGAGTTTAGAAAAAAGAGAGGAAAAGAGAAAATGTTTCCATTCAGTCTTTCACAGAAAAAAAAAAACATTAAAATTACTATTACTATGAATTACACAATTAACTATGCCTTTCTGTTTTCTTAATTCTTCTTTGCAGAGCTATCTCCAAATAATGAGATACCAGAAGATACTCTTAGAGAAAAGAAATGAATTATAAAAACTGATCCTTTGTTCTATTTACTCTGGAATCTGAAAAGGAAATTCTATGGCAAACAGAAATCCATAAAGTAATAATATAATCTTATTTATCTTTTTCCTGAGAAACCACAAAGGTGCTCAGTTGATTGAGAGTATTATTATGTAATGTGATCTTTTTTTATCACAGAAGCCTTGTTTATTTAAGAAATAATAAATATAGGGAAATGAGAGGATCACCACACCTTCAGGAAATGCTATCTAGAATGATTATTTGCTGAAACTAATGTAAAAACTACCTATATAATGCCTCATAGATTGTCATCTTTTGGACAACAGACTTAGGATAACAAATAAAAATTCATTGCACAAAACCAGATATAAATGTAATGTAGGTAGATAGATAGATAATATGTCAATAATATATAAATATAAAATACATATATGATAAATACATATACATGTAATTTATATTGGGGAAAAAAATCTACTTTTTAATAAACTTTATCCTACGGCCTATATAAGTTCCTTTCAACCTCCTAGGCTACTTCTTTCCCATTTTTTCCTCTAGGATACATACTGAATAATAGTCATTCAACCCTAAGTTTGTATTCAAAGTCATAAACCAGTAGAAGACCATGTTTTAAAATTAGTTTCCCAAACAGTGGAACATTTACCACTGGTGAGATAATTTTAGTTGCCACATTCCCCAATATTTTAATTATTATCTGTTTATTTTTTAAAAATATAGCACACTTGTGCTTTTATAACTTAGGATAAGGCTTTCCCATTTTAAGTTGATTTAAAGAAAAATATTGGGAAAAGCACCACAGATGGTATGCAAGGATTATGAAAGAGGTGTGTGAATGTCTAAAGCTTAGGAAACAATGTCCTAAATAGTCATTTCTCTATCAGGGCCAAGTTCATAAGGGGAAAAGTACTTCTCAAAAACTGTTGAAAAAAATAATTAAAACCCAAGATAGAGTCAAATATTTTTAATTTTTCTCCTTGATTCATAGAAAACATTTCTTGAAAAGAGTGAAAGCACCACAGCACAGGAACATTCCTTGAATGCAGAGATGGATTTAGAGTGGGTACTCTCTGGAAGATGAGGACTTTTCTAAACAAACCTCCCATGGCCCGGGGTTAAAGGAGAGCCTCAGCCACATTATAGAGATGCGGGTTGTTCTAGTGGCTCAGCAGGTGGTGTCAGGGTATGAATGAAAGGATGCTGACCATCCAGTGAGGGTCCTCACAAATGAGAGAGACTGCAAGTAGAAACAAACAAGGGTGCATGAATTGGCAAACTGTCCCTCACCTTTCTTTCCTCTTCCACCCATCTTTGATCAACTGAGCTGAACATAATTACACAGAAGTCTGCTTTCTGATATTTCTTTATTACATAATGTTTCTTATTTTCTCTTATGAGTTTTAAATGTGTGGGTTACTTCAAATATTTATATTCCTGATTCTCCTTAAAGGTTTGAATTAGGCTAAAAATGGTGGTGAGTCAGCTATTGTTGACTTGCAGTCCTGGGATAGACAGCTCTCAGTACCATTTAAAATCGAGCAATAATGAATGCTAATGCAAAAGGATCCTTTTTCCCTCTTGAGGAAAGAGTAATACATTCCAAGAATGATTTGGGGAGTTGAAGAAATGGAAAGAGATAAAGAAGCCCCTCAAACAGGATGCTTTTGAGAGCCACTGTATTTTGATGTTTTTTATACTATCCTGAGGTCAGGACATTTCCAGTGGTAATTAGGGGAAGTGTAGAGCAATTCACTATTTAGGCAAAATTGACCATTCTTTAAATGTTTCTTTGTATCTTTGTTCTTATAAGCTATGACTTTTAAAGCTTATGTCAGAATTAATGGATGGCATGGAGCAGGAAATTTAATATCAAATTCCCTAAAGCTGTGCAGGGGCGGGGTAAGAGCATGGTAGGGTTAGGAATAGGGACATCAGGTAAAAATTCTTCAGGATTCACAACCCCCGTTGACCACAAAAGTTCCATTTTTATCTGTTTTATATATAGTAATCGTTGAAGACTTTGAGAAAAAGGATCCTGTTTTAAAAGTTAGAAATAGGGAAAAAAAGCATGTACCCAGATTGACCCTGGGAAAACAGGGAACAAGTTATAAAAATGGTGAATGTTTCTTTATGCATTTCTTCATAATTCCTCAAAATGCTCATTAAATTACATGCCACTCTTCTTTGGGGAGTAGGGCACCACCGTTCTGCCTTGGGAATTGTTCCCAATCTCACACTCCCTGGGCAGACCGGGGAAAGCAGTCGGAATAACCAGACACACTGAAACAGATTGACTAGATTAGCTCTCCCTCCATAGTTATATATAAACTTTCCAAAGAACTAAGACCTCTGTTCTGACAACATCAGATAAGTCTAAAATCAGACAGAGCTGGTAACATTCCAAAGTAGTTCGGGTAAAAGAGACTCATTAATTTGAAACCAGCATTTAATTCCCAAAGGAAAGACATACTTCAGTTGGAGCATTGTGATGTCACAAGAACTTCATTAGTCTTCAAGTTAGAAGGGAGTCTTGAGAGTAAGTCAAGTGAAATGTAAATAGCAGCCTAATTAAGTTTACGTGAAAACCGGAGAGTCGTTAGCGATGACCATGCTTGGCAGATGACTTCCTAGACTAAGGATTGGTTTCATTTCTCACAGCTGGGAGGTGGCTGGTAGATTTATTATAGGATCCCAAAAGTCTAGTTAACCCAGATAGTCACTCAAGACAATCAGGTATGACATCATCTGCCTGGGTAGGATCCTCTAGAGCAGCAGTTCTAGAACTTCTTGGGGCTGCTCCATTAGACCAATTTGAAGGAATCACCTCCATTTCTTCCAGAGCAGGGGTGGGAGCAGGGAAACTTTATCATGAGTGAAGAAAAGGGAACTGATTCTGGAAGAGGCATTGTAAATAACTAATTCACATTAGAACCATGAAGGTGGCATCTTGTTCTGATTAATATTCCAAGAGGTTAGTCCACAGAGTATGCACTGGCAAAGCAGACATCAAGTATGCTTTGAACCAAAGATTGAAAACTTTCATTTTAAAAAAAGAATATTAGAGCATTCTTCTATGTCTAGCTCTAATGTGCTAAAGCTGTTGCTAGTTCCCCCACCTCTCCAGCCCTCTCTTTGCCACAAAATCAAGTTCAAACTCTTTGCCACATATTAAGGCTCTTCAAGATCCTGCCCATCCTCCTTTCTCAGCCTTAGCTCTCACATGCCTTGGTCAGTTGCCTGTCTTGTATGACATGCAGTTTATAGTGGACTCTTGGTCTGTTTGTGTCCTTTTCCAAAGTACTCAACTTGCAAAACCATGTTCATCTTGCAAAATGCAATCCAAATGTCACTTCCTTCCTGAGTTTCACTGTGTTATACAGTTCAAGCATCTATCTGAGTACCTTTCTCTGGGAAGGGTATGGAGAGAACTGTCCTAACTAAAACTTAAGGTCACACATAATCACATATATCTAGCAAACCAGTGGTTATGAATCAATGAAGCACTGCATATGGGTACTGAGGGAGGTAACTGTGTAATGAGAGCCAGGAGAGACATCAGGAGTATAGTGGGGCATCAACCCCTTGCATCTACCTCCAGCTTTGCCCATGGACACATGCCTAGGTTTTTATAGACTTGTATGAACCACACGACCAGTAGCTTGAATTGCAGTCAAGTCTGTCACTTACTGTTGGCCTTAAGTGAATCAGTTAACCTCTCTGGCCCCACTGGAGATGAAGATACTGATATTCTTGCCTCATGGGTCTGTTGTGAGAAGTTAATATACATAAAGCTCTCCCAGTGGTGCCAGACACACAATAAATACCATTTAAGTTCAGCTGTCATACTTAGGAAGAGAGATGTTGGCAAGAGAAGATTGATTGATGAAAACTCAACCATGTAGGGACACATGCAGTACTAAGTCAGAACCACTATATTGAGAAAAAACTCAGGAGAATGTTTTCTTCCCCACTCCACATTGACAGGAGGCAGCTTGGTTCTTTGAAGTGGCAACATCAGGAGAGACTGAAGACAATGACAATTCCAGCAGAAAGTTTGGGTGCTTGACAATGGTGTTTGGAGTGACTCTTAGCAGCGGCTCAGTAGTGCCCAGCAGAAGCAATGGTCATGCCAAACAGCCTATGTGGTTCCCAGAGGTGATGTTACAAGACGTCTAAGGTGACCAGTGAGTGCAGAACCTAGATTAGAAATGACAGAGGATCCTAAAGGAAGTGTTGACACCCAGTAGACTTGGTAGCAGTGTCAGCAATGGCAGTGACAGATAGTGTAAGAGGGACAATACACAGTGACCAGCATGGGGTAAGATATCAGCCTTACTCACATGCCCATGGGGGAAAAAAAAAAACCTGAGTCAACAAGAAGTACACCACGGTGAGACTTTGTGAGTCCAATATGGTAATGCCCTCAAAGAAATGCTGGTATAACCTCACTTTTACAGAAGGGGATTTGAGAAATCTCTAAAAGCACAAGCTATGGTTTCAGACAGGGCTTGTACGCTATTTAGATGCAACTGTATACTGAGCATCTGCTCTGTGCATAGTGTCTGCTCTGGTTGGTAGAAATAGTACAGTGAGCAAGATGAAAGAGTGCTCCTCACACAGAGCTTGCCTTACAGTAGGGGACACAGAGAGTAAGCAAGTTAGCTTTTTCCCTTAGAGCTATGAAAACAATAAAACAGGAGATGATGCATAGAGATGGAGTAGAATGGGACCACTTAAATATGGCATCCAAACCAACTTTGGGGGCCTCAAAGGAACAAAAGCAAGGATAGTAAGTCTAAAAACAAGGAGTGCAAACCTGCAGAACAAATCCACCTGCGGCCTATTTATGTAAAGGAGGTTTTATTGGGACACAACCTCTTGCATTTGTTAATTCAATACCGGTGGCTGCTTTTCTGCTCTAATAGTAGAGTTCAATAGTTGCAATAATGACTGTATGGCTTGCCAAGCCAAAAATATTTACAGTCTTTCCCTTTACAAAAAAAAAAAAAGGTGTGTTGATCCCTGGTCTAAAGCATAGTGAAGTAGCTTAGATGAGAGCAACAAGCACTGAAGTTTAAGGGCTACTGGAGACAACAACTCTGCTACTGGAGATGGCAACTCTGCAGGGCCTTTTAAGCTGTATATTCTATATATTCTAGAATATAATAAGCACTGTATTCTAAGTGTAATGAGAAGCCACTGGAAGGGTTCTGAGCAGGAAAGACACATGATCTATGTTTTTACAAGGCCACTCTAGGAACTTTGAAGAGATAGACTATGGGGACAAAGTAGAGCTGAGAAGACAATTAGGCAGCTGTTGCTGAGCCCAGTAGGAGATGAAGGTGCTGAGAATGAAGAAAGTTGCAGCATGGATGGGATAAGTAGTCAAGATGTATTATTTTAGGTGTAGCAAGCATGAGACTATCAATCCCCTGTGTAATATTAGACAAGTTACTTGAGCTCTTCAAGACTGAGTTTCGTGTCAGTAAAGCCTCATAGCATTGTTGTGTGGATTAAATTGCAAAAGGTATATGAGGTACCCGTCAAAACAAGTGTTCTGGGGCTAGGGATACAGCTCAGTTGGTAGATTGCTGGCCTCACATGCACAAGGCCCTGGGTTCAATCCCCAGCACCATGAGAAAAAAAAAGAAAAGGGTTTCATAAATGTTGGCTATGATTACTGTTATTTTTGTTGTTGACTATTGAGGCCTATGGAAAACCAGGTGATAGGATACAATCACTATATGAGCAAGAGATGTGCTTCCATACCTGATTGTAACTTCCCTGGACATGGAGAAACTCTCTTATCCATCTTTATATCCTCAAAACTGTGCCTGGCACATGGTGGATATTTAATAAATGTTTATTGATTATTATTTTTAAGAAAGGAGGAGTATTTTTCATTCTGCCAGTCTTAATCAGAAGTGTTTTGTTTTTAGGATTAATATAGATTACATTTTTATGACACAGAACAGTTCTGAAGACACAGAGGTCGTTTTCTCTAAGAACCAGTACCCAGTATCCTGTCCATGCAAAGGAAAACACAGATGCTGCTTCCCAGGAAACATCTAACCCAATAAAATATGTCAATGACAGCAATAATATGTTGAATCTGGACTACCAAGTCACCATGCATGAAAAATTCTGTTACATCAAATGTGTCTGCATTTCAAAAATCTCTGCCACACAAAGTGGACCCAACAAGAGTCAGAACTGTTGTTCCACTGCCAAGCTGCTTCTACACTCTTACTTTAAACCGCGGGATGTTCTGATCCCTTGTCCCCACCATGTTGAGTGGCTCCTATGGTATTTTCCATTACCTTCTTCCTTTTATTGATTCATTTTACTACCTATACAAAAAAACAGAAGTTCATTAAAATTGACACATCAGAATTATTTGTCAACTTATTGTTTGGTATACCAGTTGCCAAGAAAGACTGGAAATCTATCTACTCTCTTTAAGGATTTAAATTTTTTGACATCATAAGACATTTGAATACCATGTAAACAATGATCAATGAAATTAAATATGGCATACACATTTTCAAGGGTGAAATGGCATATATTGAATATATCCATACTTTCTAAATGATATTGCTATTTTTTTAAAAAAAAAAAGTGTTAAAATACCAAAATGGTCATACAATGCAAAATTGTAAAATCCTCAAATAGCCAACAAATGAATGTTATCAGGTACATTTACCTGTTGTATTCACAGTAATTAGATGTGTCCTTACCATATCCATGTTGCCAAATCTAAAATATTAGCTACAATTCCTTAAAAATTAACCAAATAAGGCTAAATGAAAAAACATCTTGGCAGAGGTCATCAGATCATAGCAGTACTATACAAACTTATCAATTTCACTTAAAAACTCTGAAAGTCTGAGGAAATGGGAGTAAGAAAAAATATTTAAAATAACAGGACACTGAAGAAGAAAATCCTTTATGATACTAAAGAAAAGATAGAAATCCTTGAAACATCAGGGAGCAGCCACAAGGAGGGAGGATTTTTTGTTGTTGTTGTTTTGTTTTGTTTTGTTTTTCTTCTTCTTCTTCTTCCTCTTCTTCTTTTTTTAACACGAAGCCTGGCATCTCACAAATAACGTATGTTCTATATTATGTGGCAGTTGCTATGGTAACAACCTTTATTTTCTGAAACAGTACACAGATGTGTACAACATACTAACTTGCTGGTTATAAATTACAGCTTTTCCCATAGTTCAATAACTTAAGAATTCTACGTTTTTGAAATCTCAGAAGTTCTGTTGTTATTAAATTTCTTTTATGAGATAATCTTCCTTGTACTTTCAAAATGAGAGTGTTCCCAAGCAGGCCAAGAGAAAGGAGCAATGAGAAGATGGGGTATCTCAGAGAGTAGCAATTGGGTACTGCTCCTACAAAGAATCTGCAGGTGACCCACAGAAAGGAGGAGAAAATTAATGAATTGGGCATCATGTACAATAGCCATGAGAAATAAGACACCAACAAAAGGATGCCCCAAATAAAGTTATGAATTCCATATTCCAAGGTGCCATATTTGTAGTTTTAAAACAAATGAAGTTTTTTTCCTTAGAAATGTTACATCATTAAGATAATTTTATAAGTCTCAGTGGTATGAAAGAGAGAATTAGCCCGGTGATTTGATCTCAAAAGAAATTTTTGAATCTTGAAAATACCTGAGTCTGGGAGGGAAAAAAATATATTCTCATATTTAGTAAGGGACTAGCATCTCTTTCTCAGGTCACAAAACAAAAGACAGATTTTAACTGAATAGTATATTTTTCTTTTTCTATTCTAAACTTAATCAACAAATATTTACCCAGTGGCTTCCACATTCAGGGAGCTACCTGTTCATGCCTAAATGCAGTTCAATAGATGTTTTCTTTCTATTCTGAAAATTTACATTATGTTTCCTTGTGTTGGATCTGAATATTTCCTTTAAATAGATAATTCGCATATTCAATTTTTAAAACATCAAAAAGACTCATTTCTGCAGCATTTGTCAGGTTAAAGTTTATAACCTAGGAAACATATTTGAAAAATAAGGTTATAAAGTTAGCATTTACAGTTTAAAAAACATCTAAGGCAAGAAAATATTTCTAATTATAAGGAAAGTGTAAGTGTCCTTATATAAAAGTAACAAAGCACCCTGATTTTTAAAGTCCAGAAATTATCCTGCTAATGGATTTTCCTAACAAACATAAAACACTTGGAAATGCCATCTCAAGTCATAATACAGTTACATTCAAATTCAAAATTGTCTTACAGCAGCTCTGACTGAATGAGAAACAATTGAGTATTGTGCAGATAAGAACAAATCATTTTGAAAAGCTTGTACCCATTAAGTGGTTGTTAAAATTTTTGCTAATGCTTTCCATATATACTCCATTCTGTACCTTTCTAAGATATATTAAAAACAGGACCACGACTGATCCATTCAAATCCTTACGTTATCAGAGAGAGAGTTAAGTTATCACCTAATGGGGACTTGGAGGCTAGAACTCGGAACCTGGTAGAAAAAAAAAGAGTACTTCACCACTAGATGCATTTTAAAAGTATTACTTAAATTACATTTAAGTCATAAGATAATTATGAACTTTCTTCTCTTTTATATTTATATGGCATATTTATTGAATTGCACAGTATGCTTTTACAATAAAGTGCTTTTTACGTTGCCGCCTTTGTTCATCCAAAATAAAACTGACAGTTATCCTTTTATAAGCTATTCCGAGAACATTTTCTCTTCTTTGAAGCTGATTGATGCACTACTTTAAATGTTCCTGCAAATATCTTTTCAATTCAAGTTTTTGCATAATGTAATAAGAAGATAAAAGAATTCTATACTTCAACAAGAGACATTACAAAGCAAGTAGAGACATTATCAAGGGCATTAACATGCTCCTAATAGCAATAAAACCTTTTAACTGTCTGATGTAGAACATGCTCCCACCAAACCACCACATATTATGGTAATTGGCTCCAATTTCTGAATCTTACATTGTAAAGTTACAAAGAGTTAGGTAGAACTGAAAAACAAATGTAGAATACTCATCTTGTTACCGTTCCCATTATAAAATGTTTGCTTTCTACCTCTAACGAGGACGGGTCTGATCTGTTGCGCTGTTCATTACTGTGCTATCATATTTTTGCATCCTGTCTCATTTTTATTTCTACTGACTGATATAAATACATTTTTTCCCAAATAACCCTTTTCTAACTCCAAAACATCAGAGCAACACAAATAGCATTCCCCTCAGAATCTCAGTGTAACAAATGGGTTGTCTGTGCACGCCTGTGTCTCACCGCCTTCGCTTTCTGTGTTCTCTCATCAGGGGAAGATACAATGGGGGAAATATTCCATGAGGATGCTTTGATTTTTCTTCACAACGCACTACTAAATTGCACGAGTGGCCTTTCTATCCTGGCCGAGAGGAAATATAATTTTAAACTAAAGTTGAGCCCAGATTCTGTTAAATTAAATAGCAAAGAAAAAAAAATAGTTCTTGGCTTTATTCCTTGTGCATAGGACGCGGGGCGGCGCGGAATTGACACAAGCCGGTCCTCGGTGATTAACCTGCAGTTTATGTTGTGTTTCTAGGTGACGCGCCCATCAAGCAGGAGGCTTCTCCCAGGCTGGTGAGAGCAACTTGCCGGCTTTGAGAAGTGCAGATCTATCAGGATCCAGAATCGGGCTCTGAGGAAGCTGTCATTTCATGTCTCTAAAACAGCCTCTGATTTAATGTACAAGATGTCAAGAAGTAAAGGACAATAAAATAAAAACCAAAAAAGGAGAACTATTTCAATTAAGAAGCATTTTTATACCAACCCCTGGAAATCACATAAAATAAAAGCTGTCAGAAACAATCTATGTTTAAAAGGTTGATTTTTGTGGTGCTTACATACAACAGGCAGGACAGGGGGAAACACAAATGACTAACACAGAGCAGCTGAACTTTAAAAATTCGTTTGTCACTAGATAGATATTTGGTTATTAAATTTTCCTAATGGATCTAGGAAAAATATTTGAATGACAGATGTTGGGGGTTGGAGAAAGAAGAAAGAAATCCTCATACAGAAAAGAAAATGACACATGTAATCTCCAGACCTGTGTGAAAGGAGATTTCTATATCTCCAAAATATAATCTTTAAGTGCTAATAATTAAGAGCCTAAGATTCTAGGAATTTACCATTTCTTTCCATGATGTTCCAGTGATGTTTTAATGTCTCTTTCAGAGAAAGATAAATATTTCAAGGACTGCCCTATCACCCCAGTAATCAAATATCTTAAAGGTGAATGCAGAAAAAAAATCTTTATGAAATTTGAGGCAACCTTTTAGCTGAGAGTATAATAATATTAAACAAAGACATAAGCATTGCCAAATATAAAAGTAAATAAATTTTAAAAACTAAACCAAAAGTGACTTCTTATTGTGGAAAACATCATTGTCATTCAGGTTCTTGTTCCCTGCTCAGACTTATTTATTTTTTTAATTGTCAGGTAATATCATATGTATATATGTAATGCATATATATGTAATGTTTTGTAATGTCCAAAACAACATTTATACACACACACACACACACACACATTGTGAGATGGCTATATCTAGCTAATTAACACATGTCCATTTGTTTTTAAAATCTGCTATTCAAGAAATGTACATTATAACTCCAACTTACTACTACCCTTACAACTTTTATTATGTTATGCTTTTTATTCCATATTTTCTATTAAAAGAAATATAGACAGAGAGGGTGAGTTCACTTGCTGTCTCCCCCAGTTGATTTGGTGGTCTATTTATAGCATCTTTATAAAAATAAAACTAAAAACTCAAGTTTTTCTGAAGAGGAATACTTAAAGAAAAAAAAATTCACTCCTCCCAAATCAAGAACTTTTCTTACAGTAAGTCTTCCACACAAGCAATAAGACAAACAGCCTAAAAACTGCCTCCAAGAAGAAAAATAAGAAAATCAGCTCACCCATGATTTCCTTAATATACTTAAAAGAGATAAAATCCCATTGATGCCTCTAAAAATAAAAATGAGGAAAGGGCAACTTTATTGATTCCTTGTAAACCAACGAACGTGTAGCTTATTGATAACACTAAACACCACCTAAGCCTTTAGTGATTTTCAACCAAAAGTCTGCCTCTGCATGAAGGTTTAAATCATCGTATTAATATATTAGAGGGAAAATTACCATGGGAGACACTTGGAAATTAATTAAACACCCTGCACTCAGTTTGTTTGCGAGAGAAGATAAATATCACACGTGGGAAAAGATGCCTGACAACCGCCATAGTTTTCAGATCCAAAATTAGACCCTGACAGCTATGTCTTTGTATGACTCTCCTTGGGGTATGATAAGTAGAGATATAGAATATGAAGATTTCTGATAGAAGTATTTATTACTGACACTTCCGAAACATTCCATGTGTGGCATCAGCAAAGCATGCTTCACCTCAGACAGAAATATCAGGTTTTCATCCAAGATTTTTTTTTCCATTCCTCTTCCCCCATTCCAATTCCTCCCTCCCCATCCACCACTCCCCCACCTTCTCCTCCAAAATATGATCTTTTTTAGAAGTTCAACAGCAGCCCCTGGTGGAACTCAGCAGTTGTTTCAGCCTGAGCACAGTAGTTCAAGTAACTCCATCCATCCTGTCAAAAAACAGAAAAAGTATGTTCAATGTGCATGTATATGACCACAACAGTGCACTGTTCCTACAGCTCAGGGGCCAGAACAAGACCCCAAATGTACAAATGCAGTGATTTGTGATAGTAATTTCAGCCAATTTCAGTAGCTAGAGTTTTGAAAAAATATATATGAAACAAACATCTGTCTCAAATATGATATTCATTTTATGCACGAAGACCAATAATTAACTGCTCATGAATAATGCTAACCACAGAATGCGTCAACAGAAAGAGGCACTACGCTTATGAGCAGCCGATCACCATTTTGTTTAGCTCATGTTGTGATAGATTCAGCTTTGTCACTTAGCAAAATGAGCTATACAAAGTGACAAAGAAGGGATTTCTCCAGGTCAGAGGTCAGAAAACACCACAGCATGGCACTGTCTGGCCGTATTAGAATAGCAAGCTAGGCTTAATTAAAAGCACCAAAAGCTCTTCAAAGAAACTATGACCATTCCTTCTCCTGTTTTGTTGACAGCCACATATTACACTTTGGGGGCAAAGAAGAAATATGTGGCTCTTTGTTTGCATTAGTCTGTGTAAATTTGTGAACTTCACTAAGGTACCTGGCAGAGGGGCTCAAATTCAACTTCACTCCCTTGGATGTTGTCTGCCCAGAAAACAGTCAACTTTTTCTTTTCATGAGGGCACAGTCTTCTTGCCAAGCTCTGTAGTCCTGGGGCAGGATCACCCAGATGGGTTGCCTTCCCCCATACACAAAGTACCATGTAGGCTACAGGTATTCCTGGCACCAGGCAAGAAGAAGGGGAATGACACCAAGAAGATTGCTTTAATGACCGAGAGTTTCAAGTGTGCCCAGCATTGGGGGCACAGCAGGCATTCACCCTCCATGAAGCCCTTGTTAGGACAAAAGAACAACTGGGATTTACTCAAAAGACCCACAGGTTTACTTCAGTGCATTTATGCAATGTCCTTCACTTGTGTATTTTGACTTTTCTTAAATGATGCAGTTTGTTAAGAGGAAAAGAAAATCATATTTTTAAAACGTAAATACTTTTATAATAAATACTAGAATAGAATAAATACTATTTTATGTGCAAAAGTGATTTTTAAATTCTGAAAGTGTTCTACTTCACTTTCACTTGCCCTCAAGGCTACTTTGATCTCTTGACTGATCTCATGTGAAACTGAATCAATGATGTGTTAAGACAGAGAATCCCGTGATGAGCCACTTACTGAGAGCCAGTGGGTATCTAGCACTAGGGAGTAAGAGGAATGAAAGAAAGAAAATTTGGTATCCAATGAGTTACAATTTAGTGTAGGTGATAGATGCAAAGGATAATTTCAATATAATGTGGTAGCAATGTGCAATCCTAAGAGAGACAGCCCTTGGCTCAGCCTGGGGTCATCAAAGAATTTCTATAAGGATGATGCTTGTACTGAGTCTTAAAAATTAAAAAACAGCTACAGTAAAGAAGGAGAGGGGGAATTATGGAGGAAAACCATTATGACCCAAAGGGAAAAGGCATCAAACTATAAAGTACAGATTGAGCCTCCCAAATACAAAAATCCAGAATCCAAAGTGCCCTTGAATCAGAAACCTTTTGAGCACCAACAAGATACTCAAAAAGTTCCAGACTTTAAAACATGTTGAATTTTGGTTTTTTCAAAATATGGAAAGTCTATACAAACATTCCAAAATAAAAAAAAAATTAAAAACTCCAGAATCTGAAACACTTCTGGTCTCAGGCATTTTGGATAAGGTTTACTCAGCCAACAAACTGTATATTCAAAGAATTACAAGCAGCTTAATTTTTACCAGAGCATATATTAGAAGATGGCCCATGACAGATGGAGAGGCTGGAGAAGTGGATAAGAAAAGTGGCTACGGAAACCCTTCTTGGCCCTCCTAGGGACACTAGATTTGTCTAAGCCATGAAGAACAATTAAAAGACACTATGCAATGGAGTGACCATGTGGAGAAGTAACTGAAGATGAGAAGACAGATCAGGAATTTGCTGTGATTGTCCAAGAGAAAAAGAAGGGATTGAGTTCTGCTGATGGAAATGGAGCTGGAGAAGAATAAATTTAAGCTGAGAAGTAAAGAAATATTCAGAGGTCAAAGCTGAGAAGAGTTGGTGACTTTTTGGATTTGAACTATGAGGGAGGAGTTTTGTATAATTCCCAGGTTTCAGGCATAAGAGACAACATAGATTGTGGCATCATCTGCTGGGTTGGAGAGTACAGGAGCCAGAGCAGGTTTGAGGGGAGAAGATGACACTCTAAAGAAGTACTTCTCAAAATGTGTCCTCAAGTACCCTCCACTGGTCTCCAGATAGCTCCTTGTAGCACTGATTATTAACACTGCCCTTGAATGTCACAGCTGGAGAGGAACCTAACAGATCATTATGTCCAGTCACTTTCAAACTGTGCCGTGGGGACTGAGGGGTAGCAGAGAATGCAGGAATTCAGACTGCCCACCTCTCCCCAGATTCAACCCACCAGGATCATTCTTCCTTTACCTATTGTGCATACTGAATTTCTTCTTCAGACTGAGTTTGAAACAAGAAAACCACAGTTTAAAGCTACTAACAACCTGTTCGTTTTACAGAAAGGAAACTGATATCCACAAAGGTAAAATGACTTGTCCACAGACACAAGGTTTGTACCAGAGGCTGAACTGATCTATGACCCTTAGTTCAACACATGTCAATTCCAAGTGTCCTCTATGCCATGGTTTTCTCTATGAAGTAACTTTTGCTTTTGCCATGTCTTATCCAGCTAGCATCAAAAACCTCATTAAAAACACTCAGCAGTTTCTTCAGTTTTATTCATTCAACAGTTATTGAACACCATCTACAAGCCAACCCCTGAGTTAGTTACCTGAACACTTATTTGGATCCCCAGTTGTAATTTTTATGGTGTTACCCCAAGTAGTATTCAATCATATCTAGTTTGCAAGTAAAGATAATTATTATCGAAGGTGTGATTTTCCCAACTCACCAGAAGATTAAAGCTAATTTATATTTTAAGTGAATTTTTAAATATATTTTTAATCCACAAAGTTCCTAAGATATAACAAGGTGCTATTCTTAATCTTTAAAAGAATTACTTTCCAGATCTTACATTAGTTTTTTCACACATGTTCCAGAACTCACTGAAAAATAATGCCCCCAAACTCAGAAAGACTAACTTATTAACTTTAGAACTGATATATGGAATAATTATACTGTAGGTTGCTTTTATAACATGAAAATACAAGCAAATAAATTTTATAACCCTTCTTCACCACCATACTAACTCAACAGCTGCTTGTACCAAAATAAGGTTATTTCTAGAACAGAATTAAATCCTTGCTTGACCTACAGAAATAAAGACAAATATTAGCTGAGGGGTTATGAAAGCCTGTTGACCTCTTTCTAAAGGACGAAAAAGGGAGCAGTGGGTGGCTACTTTGTGAGGTACCAGGGTCAGAGTGGGGAACAGGAAGCAGCTGAAGCAGGTCCTCCTGCACAGAGATTTCCAGAGATGAGACCCTCAGAGACCTGTCCAAGACCATTATCTCCTATCTCACTGTACAAAGGAAAAGCAATTCTGTCTGTCTTGTTGGAGAATCCATTCTTTATACTGTTAAACTCTTCAAAATAAGGGGCCAGGGATTCAGTCTTTCTTCAACTGCCCCTTCATACTTCACTAGACTGCCTTGTTTTCTTTCTATATTCCTATTTGCAACTTACTTTAAGATCACATATAAAGCCTAGTTAGTAGGAATGGATTACAAGAATAGAGGAGAAAGAAAGGGGAAAATCCAAAATTATAACTCAAATAGATTTCAAGACTCACCTGTTAAAACCCCATTTCTTTAAAGATAAGAAATCAAAACTACTCAGCTAACATTATCCCATTGTTTTCACATGGTGTATTATTGAGAATAGGGGGCACATAAACAAAAAAGGTTTCATCTGCTTTTTTTATATTATAAAGTATATTATTAAAAGGACACAGGGAATCTTTGAGAGAACAAGCATTTGGTTACTAATTGTCTCCATTGCCCCTTGAAGTGCCCAAGTAAATTCAGAGTTGAAATTCTTTTGAGAGGCTGTTTTTGATATTTTTGTCTGGTGTCTTGCAAAATCTTCCTTAACAACAATACTCACTCAACGAGTATTCATGGGAAGCTCACCATACATCAGGTCTACACAATAACAAGCAAGAGAACTGATTTCCTCTGCTCTCCTGCTTATCTGGTCATACCTTGTCACTGCATGTTCATGACTGAAGAAGCCATATTTCTTTTCCAAATCCAGTAAATTTATCTGTCAGCTTTTTTATATGAAAAGGGTTTGAAATGACTTTAAATCTCTTTAAGCACATCTTCTAGGTAGCAAATAACAATATTGGTTAAATGTTCTTTTCTGAGTGTTCTAGCTTCCTTCTTGCTGAAAATTCCTCTGGCTGCCCTGTGGACTCGGCTAGTCTGACCACAATGACCCTGAGTTACAAATTAATGGAATTTCACATAAAACATGAAGACTCATTGGGAGCATTTAATAACATGAAGTACCTTGGTAAGTTCTTCAAATTCATCAGAATCCAATGACCAAAGAAGTCCTGGAACAGAGTACTATGTGTGGGTTGGAAATAGAAGATAGATAGGGCACAAAATTTTCCAGCAAGTTCTTGGAAAAATCTGATAAAATGCTATTTAAAAAATCTAAAATCTGGGACTTTGAAAACTAACTTAGGCATACATACCTAGGACTGAAAGAAATTATGCTGGGCCTAAAAGGTCACCTTTAAAGAAGCAAATTATTGAATTAAAAAATGGAAAATGTGATCCAGTTCTGGAAGTCAATATTCCCAGCAATTAACAACATAATTCACCTGGTACACAGAGTGGTCAAACTCATAGAAACAGAAATTAGGATGGTGAAAACAGAAAAACAGAAAACAGAGACTGTGAAGGAAGAGGACTGAGACTTGTGGTATGATAGGCATATGGT